ACCACCTCACTTTTGAGACCAGAGGCCTACAATACCTCCAACTTCAGTTGAATATCACAATCAAGACTTACCAGAATGATGGGAGATGGGCCTTAAAAAGATGACTAGCTTTTTTTTTTTTTTTTTGAGTTAGTCTTCCTATGCAACCCAGGCTAGCCTTGAACTGCACTCTTCTGCCTCCCTTTCCCAAGTGCTGGAATTATACGAATATTAAACCTGGGGCCAGGTGCCAGTGGCTCAACCTGTAATCCTAGTTACTTGGGAGGCTAAGATCCATAGGACAAAGGTTCGAGGCCAGCCTGGGTAAATAGTTTATGAGACCCCCCTATCTCCAAAATAATCAAGCTGGTGGTAGAGAACCTGCCTAGCAAGCATGAGGTCCTGAGTTCAAATCCCAGTACGGCCAAAAACAAAAAAACCCTCAGTACAGCAAAATAACCAGAGCAAAATGGACTGGAGGCATAGCTCAGGTAGTAGAGCACCTGCTTTGCAAGAGCAAAGGCCTGGGTTCAAACCAGGTGGGTTTGGTGGGTCTAGGGGTTTGAACTCAGGACTTGCACTTGCTAGTCAAGCACTCCATCACTCTGAGCCACTCATTCCTCCGGCCCCAAATGTTCTTTTTGCACAGGCTTGTATAAAAACTGCTCTGAAAAAAAGGAAACTGACACATAAAAAAAAGCACTGACCCAATGTGCACGAGGACCTAGGTTCAATCCTCAGTACCATTAAAAAAAAAAAAAAGCAATGATCAGTATATATTTTTTTAATCTATCCTCCCTACTAAATTGTGAATTCCAAGCAAAAAAAATGCAAAAACAAGTCTTCACTTTTGTCTGTGCAATTCTGAACACTAACCAACAGCAGAATCCAGATATTTGAATTGATGTTATCTTTCCAGTACTTTCCAGTTCACTACCCAACTGAATCCACCAACCATCTCTGTGAGTTAAAACAGATTACCATTCCCTTCCTCAAAAGGTGAACCAAAAGCTCAGAGGGCTGAAGAAACTGCTTCAGTGTCACAGAGGGACTAGACCTCTAAGTAGGCTATCTTTTAGATGGATGCCTGTTCTAGACAATAACTATAGTTCTCACTGAATTTTTTTAAATTTCATTGAAATGTATGGGTCACCCATATGTAATTCACATTTATTTAATACACCATGTGAATGAGTTGGTGCATTAAAATAGCATTTATTATACTTCATTCCAAATATCTTTCATTATTTCCATTTCCAGTCAAAGTCAACTACTCACAGATTAACCTACTGCCTCTCTTGGGAAAGCCCAATCCCTCTCTAGCTTGGAAAACACAACTATGGTCAAGTTCATATGCACATACCATACTTCCTTTTTCTGTAACAAGTAACCCCCTCCTACACTTTATAAACAAAGAAAAGCTCTTCCAGAAGCTTATACTCATTGATGAAAGTAGGATCTTCTTTCAATGGGAGTACATTTTTAATACTGACACACTGGAAACGGGGATTTTTTTATTTTTTCAGTACTAGGGTTTGAACTCAGGGCCTTTACCTTGAGCCACTCCAGCAGCCCTTTTTTGTGATGGGTTTTTCAAGATGGGGGTCTCACAGACTATTTGCCCACGCTGGCTTCAAACCACTACCCTTCTGATCTCTGCCTCCTGAGCAGCTAGGATTACAGGCATAAGCCACCAGAACCTGGCTGGAGTTCCTGATACTGATACAAATTTAGTTGAGACCTAAATATAGTCAAACTAACTGAAAACCTTTTTTGCAGATATAAAATCAGTCTCTTCACTGTAAGACAGAAATCTTTAAAAAAATTGTTAAGGCCGGGCGCCAGTGGCTCATGCCTGTAATCCTAGCTACTCAGGAGGCAGAGATCAGGAGGATTGCAGTTCGAAGCCAGCCTGGGCAAATAGTTCACAAGACCCTATTTCAAAAAAACACATCACAAAAAAGGGCTGGTAGAGTGGATGAAGGTGCAGGCCCTGAGCTAAAACCCCAGTACCACAAAAAATAAATAAATAAATAAAAATTTCAGTATTTCATTCATTTTCAGAAAAGTTAGATTTTCAAATAAAAAAATTAACCCATGTAGAAAATAACTTTAAAAGAACTAGCTACATCTACAACTTCACAATGAAATACATAATTCAAAAATGGACAAAGGACCTGAATAGACATTTCTCCAAAGATATACAAGCACAGGAAAAGATGCCTATCCTTTAATGAAATGCAAATCAAAACCAATGAGCTACAAGTTCATAACTATTCCTATAGCTATTGTCAAACAAACCAACAACAACAGAAAAGTAACTGTTGGCAAGGATGTGGAGAACTTGGAACCCTTATGCAATGCTGGTGGAAATAAAAAAATGGTTCAGCTACTTTGGAAAATGGTATGGCCTCAAAATATTAAACATAAAATTACCATATGACCCAGCAATTCCACTTCTAGATATATACCCAAAACAATTGAAAGCAGAGGCTTCAAAAGTTTTACAGCCATACTCACAGCATTATTCACAGTAACCAAAAGATAAAAACAATTGACATAAAAAAAAAAATTGACATATACATCAACACATGCTGTATAAATAAAATGTGGTGTATCCATACAATGGAGTATTATTCAACCTTATAAAAGGAAATTTTAATACACACTAAAAACAAGAATAAACCTGGACTGGAACTGTAGCTCAATGGAACACTGCTTAGCATGCCCAGCACCGAAACAAAACAAAATGAACCCTGAAAACACGCGAAGAGAAATAGTCAGACACCAGACACAAGGGGATAAGTATTATATGATTCCACCTACATTAGGTACTTAGACAAGACAAATTCACAGAAAACGAAAGTAGAATAGACGTTATGAAAGGCTGGGGCAAAGAGGAAATTAAGAGTTGTCTAATGGTTAGAGTTTCTATATGAAAAATTTCTGGAAACAAGCTGGGGTGCCAGTAGCTCAGACTTGTAATGCAAGCTACTTGGGAGACTGAGTTCCAGAGGATCACAGTCAAGACCAGCCCGGGGAAATAGTTCAAAAGACCCCCCATCTCCAAAATAACCAGAGCAAAATGGACTGGGGGGGTTGGCTCAAGCAGTACAGCACCTGCTTTTCAAGCACAAAACCCTAGTTCAAATCCTAGTGTCACCCCAAAAATAAAAAATGGGGGGATATCAATGGTAGAAAGTTTGCCTAGCATATATCAGGCACTGAGTTTGACCCCAGCATCCAAAAAAAAAAAAGTAATTTGTATAGTAATTTATACTATTATAGCCCCCAGCTTTAAAATTAGTGTACAATGGAGGAGCCGGGCAAAGATGGATTGAGGTTATTAGTAAATGATAATAACAAAAGTGGTTTTGCCGGGTGCCAGTGGCTCATGCCTGTAATCCTAGCTACTCAGGAGGCAGGGATCATCAGGAGGATCGCGGTTTGAAGCCAGCCTTGGTAAACAGTTCGAGAGACTCCATCTCGAAAATACCTAACACAAAAAGGACTGCTGGAGTGGCTCAAATTGTAGGTCCTGAGTTCAAGCCCGTGTACCGCAAAAAAAAAAAAAAAAAAAAAAAAAAGTGGTTGTAATTATATTGGTGGGAAATACTGATAAGTCACTGTATTCATTTCAGCCATTTTCTGTACTAAAACAACATTCTAACAAAGCACAATGTAACAATTATTTCACTCAATGAAAAATGTTATGCCACTGGGATAAAGCCCTTCTACATACTCCAAGAACTTAAGCTGTGTTCACACAGATGCCTAATTGGTAAAACAACTAAACTGGAGAAACATATTGCCCTAATTTGGAAAGAAACACAGATCAAGAAAGTAAGAGGAAGGTCTGTAGGTATGGTTCAAGCGGTAGAGAGCTAGCCTAATAAGTGCGAAGCTCTGGGTTCAAACCCCAGCCTCCTCAAAAAAACAAAAATATTAACCAGTTCGTTCAATTCCATTCAACAAGTATTCAGTAAGTGGTTCAGTACCCAGTGGCGTGAGAAAACCAGGCCAAAAAGTATTTCAAGGTTACAAAAAATGACAGTTAAAGACAAGGCTTTACATTAATCCAACCACAGAAAGTCAAATAATGCAAAACTATTATTCAATGTCGGCCTCCATAAGCAAGCGCATCCCAGTTAACGTTAACAGCCTCCAATTCTGTGTCCGGATGCCATTTTTAGTTTAGTTCCTCCAAAGTATGGTAAATGCTCAACCTTCTGCACTCATTACATGGCGTAACGAAGAATGAATGAAATTACGTAATTATTTTTCTAAGTCTGGTTTTAACTGATTACAAACAACAACAAAAAAGAGGTTAACAATTCCCACTGGGCAAGTGTGCCAACTGATTCAATTTCCTACAACCTTATCTAGGAAACCAGGCACCCTACCTGAAACTTAATGCCCTACAAAGGGACCCCTCTAGCTCAGGCAGAGTGCATTGCAGATGAGGCTCCGCTGCACCAACAGCCCAATTTTGGCTACATTCTCTGAGCGATTTAAGGAAGTCAGCAACCTCATCTCACGTGACCTCAAAAAGGGGCGCAGTTGAGCCCGGAATAAACCACACTCTTTTTATTTTTTTTTCGGCATCGACTTGGCCGCCCAGGATGAAGGAAGTGAGCGCGGAGGTGGCGCAGGCCCGTGGACAGGCAAGGCTAGCAAACAAACGCCGGGCGCTGTGCCTCCTGCTTTGCGGGATCTGGGAGGCGAGGCAGGAGCACGCCCGCTCACGCGCACTGCAGCGGCTGAAAAATCGAAGCCTGCCACACCCCCCGGCAGCCTGGCACGGCCTCATCCTCCTCCTTTACCACCAGAAAGAAGGCCTTCTCCACCCAAGGCCCACCTACAGGGCTGTGCCCCTGGTCCCCCGCACTCCTAAACGCAAAGCCCTGGAGCGGTGCGAGTGGAACCCGGAGCTGGGGAGTGACAGAGGGGGCAGGGCGGCGGCGGCCGTGGCGACCGTGCCCCGCGCATGCGCAGGTCGGAGTACCCGCCCGTTTACCCACCGTTGGAACCACGAAGCCCAGTTCCCTGGCCTCGGCCGCTTCTCCAGGACCTGCGGCGAAGGAAACAAGGCGAGAACTGAGGCTCCAAGTGGCTTCGCGACCGACGAGTTTCTTCCTGAGGCGGCTGCTGGCGGGAGATTGAAGCTAAGGCTGTGGCACGGGGCCAGCCCGGTAGCGACCCCCGGATTCCCCGGTGGTGGCAGCGGCAAAAACGCGAAGAAAAGGGGGCGGGAACGGCGATGGAGGCAGCGGCTGAGGCGCAGAGCCTCCCTAACGGAGAGCGGGAGGAGAGAGAAGGGCGGAGGGCGGGAGGTGAGGGGCGGGCGGGGGCCGGAGCGGACGTGACGTCTGTGGGAGGGGCGGGCGCGCTGCTTGGAGCCCCACCCCACACACATCCCATCCCCCACACCCCCACCCCCACCCTCACCCTCACCCCCGGCCAGGGCTCTGCAGTCTGCTAGCTGGAACACCGCGGTGATTTTCCCACGCTATAATTGGGCTCGCAAGTTAGGGTGCCTGGAGCCAGGCGGCGGCCGGAGGGAGGTGTCTAGAGGTCCCGAGTTTGGGGAGGTTGGGAAGGAGAAAGAGAAAACTGGGGAGGGAACGTAGGAGGTATAAAGTGAAAATCAGGAAGACTGAGCCGCGCCTGGTCTCTGCCGAAAGGGCCACCCCCGAACCCCCAGCCGGAGGCCACCCTTATCAGGGTGAAGATAAAGAGTCAGGAGGCTGGCGGGCAGGCCTAAGTGTTGACTCACGTTCCGATTCCTAGCGAAGTGGGGAAGTTGGGGACTGCAGGACTGAACTTGCGTCCTGCCTTCCCCACTGTTCTCCTTCACCCTAAGGACCTGACCTGGACTCCAGAGATTATAAAGCTATGGTGGAAGTCGATAGACCCCATGCTCTCAACTGGAACCACCCAGACCAACCCTGCAGCTCCCTAACGTTTAGACCGGTGTAAATAGACCGCCCATCTCTTTTTTGCTTTAGTCTGTTGAAAAGCTTTGAGGACCTCCGCTGAGGAAAATGCAGGATTCAGCTTTTGGATTCCCTCAGGGCGGATGGATCTAGACCTGCACAAAGAACCACCACAATTCAATTGTCCCCTACCTGCCTGAGTCAATAACCTGGAAAATGTAAAACAAGAATCCTCATAGAACTTGGGACAAGATTTATAAAAAAAAAAAAAAAAAAAATTATAAAATAAAAAAAAGTCACCCTATAAGATGATCTGTAAATGTGTTACGGAGACCAGGGTGGCTCCCAAATTTCATCGGAGAGACAAAAATCATCTGTAACAAGTGTCATAGTCCCAGGTGAGCTGTCATAACTGAAGGGTGGGGCCCACAAAGAGTCTAGAACCACAGAACGTGAATAAGAATTTTTGATGGGGCTCCCACTGTCCAAGAAAGAGGTGACTCATTCTAATGATCAAGACCAAACAACCATTACCAGGGCAACTAAAAATCCTAGTTCAGGGCTGAGGTGGGAGCACTCCGTCAGTACCACAACAAAAAGTCAATTCATACTTATTCAACTGACTTATTGAGCACTTTCTACATTTTGGCCTTTTTCTTTTTTGTGGCTTTGGGAATTGAATCCAAAGCCTTGCTCTCAATCACTCTACCACTTGAGCTATGCCCCCAACTCTTTGGTTTTTATTTTGTTTTTGAGATAGGGTCTTGATAACTATACCCGGCCCTAGCCTCCCAAGTAGTTACAGTTACTGGCATGCATCACCATACCTAGCTGTTCCAGCCTCTTAGGACCCATCAACAAATAAGATCCCTGCCTTCAGGGAATTATATCCTAGCAAACTTAGATTCTGTATATCCTTTATGAACAAGAAAGGCTAGGCTCTTAATCGATAACTGACAAGTAGTAGCCTTTCCATCACTCAATCTCTCAAAACGCCCAGAATGAAGTGATTGTCCAAGGCACATGAGTGAGACTAGTTATACTAGCTATACAGTCTGTCAAATTGAGAGCATGATTTATAAATCCATTTCTGTTTACTGGGTTGAACTATGAGGTTGCTTTATCCAAATTAGTTTTTCAGAGCCTGATTAAAGTTGAGTGAAGTGAAATGTAAATTTGTGAATCTGCCAAACTGAGGATCAGACAAAGCCTGGTTTCACAGCAGCCCAATCAAGTTGTCATTTTCGCATTTAGTCTTGTATCTCTCTTTGAACATCTTAAATAAAAGTTTTACCTGTGGTTCCATGTTTGGAGAGTAGGGGCTATATGATTGCTTCAAAAGCTTAATCACAAGCAAGAAAAATCCTAAATTAGTAAATCCTCCTGAGCTTCCCCACTTATGCAACACAGGCCCTTGTTGACATAACTGACTATGATAGGTACTTTTTATAAAACCCAACATGTAAGCTCCCAAAGGACAGAGACTTCCTTGCATCTATATGACATGGTCCCAAAATACGGGTTCTTAAGAAACAAGTGAATTAACTCAATGACCATTTTCCCCTTGTAATACTCTAGAACATGTTCTTGGAAAATATATTTTCTAGATCCTACTTGATAATATAGAATCAATACATTCAACATACACAGCTCATGGATAATAATTTTTTTAAAAACTTGCCATCCCTTTAAATCTGCACGATGGGAATAAATCCATCATGCACCTTATTGAAAACTCAAGCAAGTTCTGTGAGTTCTGTCTTACACTTAGAAATAGTCCTGTAGTCACCACCACATACCAGTGGCTCATACCGGTAATCCTAGCTACTTGGGAGGCTGAGATCAGGATGGTCAAGGTTTGAGGCCAATCAGTGCAAATACTTCGCAAGACCCCATTTCCAAATAACCAGAGCAAAATGAACTGGAGGTGTGACTCAAGTGGTAGAGCACCTGCTTTGCAAGCACTGAAGCCCTGAGTTCAAACCCCAGTCCTACCAAAAAAAAAAAAAAAAGTCCTGTGGCAATTGAATCATGAAGATTGAAACTTTTTCCCTCTTCTACAGTTGAAGACAGCTTGCTTCTACAGCTTGCTCTGGAGAGGGGAATATAGTCTCTAACCCTACCTAGTCTTTCTCCTTTCTTTCCCATCTTACTAACCAGAACCAAAGGGAGGCAGAGAGAGGAAAGGAAAAGAGAACAGGAAAGTTTTTAGCTTTTTCTTCAATACAATGAGTTAACACTTCCTGGGCTTAGTAGATGTCTATAGCTGACTTTTCTGATGTGCACTTTTATGTTTACTTCAGAGACCACCATCCCCCTCCTCTGGTGGTTTCTTACTCATAATTCCCTTGATCTGAGCAGAAGCACTCTATTCTGCAAGTTTTACTCCCTCTTTCAGCCCATACAAATCTGGTGGCCCACCTCCAACTACTTGTTTATTGAAGACTGTTCAGCTGGTGGAGTGGCTCAAGTGGTAGAGTGCCTACCTAGCAAGCATAAGGCCCTGAGTGCAAACCCCAGTACTGCGAAAAAAAAGATGAGGAAGCTTTCAATACCCTGTTTGGCCAATGGAGTGGCTCAAGTGGTAGAGCACCTGATTCACGACCACGAGGCCCTAAGTTCAAGCCACAGTACTGCAAAAAAAAAAAAGAAGAAAAGAAAGATTGTTCATCTCTAAGGGGCCCTGTCAGATAGGATCTAAGATAACTCTCACGCTGGGCCCTTTGCAAATGATCCCAAGTCACCCCTTATTGTTGTACAAGGTCATGGTCTTGTTCTTCATATCCTCCATGTGGATCTGTGTGTGTATTTATTTTCAGTTTTCCAGCAGGTGGCAGTAAAATGTTTTGTCCAAATTAACATGACTAATTAATATTAATATAGTAGATGGAGGTGAAGTGTCTTTTTCCTGATGGTGCTGTTAGGCTAGTGGCAACTTTGTACAGCTGGCACAAGGTTCATGGGAATTTCACATGAATTTATTGCCTACACCTGGGATTATAGGCCAATCTCAGTGCAGATTTAGCATTCCTCTGCTGTACTACTTAAATAGCTGTCAGCTCTAGGAATCAGACAAGTCAACTATGCCCCTAACAACAGACACATCTCAAGTTCTCTGAGTAGATTTTTGGGTAGGTTTTTTTTTGTTTCATTTTTTTGGTTTTTTTGAGGCACTGAAGTTTGAACTCAGAGCCTCACACTTGTTAGGCAGGTGCCCTTACCACTTGAGCCACTCCACCAGCCCTTTTTGGTGATAGGTTTTTTTTGAGATAAGGTCTCAAGACTGTTTGCTGGGGCTGGCTTTGACCTGTGATCCTCCTGATTGATCTCTGCCTCCTGAGTAGCTAGGATTACAGGCATGGGAGCCACCAGCACAGCCTTTCTCTGAGTAGTTTTGAAGCAGCCCCTCACCCACCCTCCTCCAACTCTAGAAGCCGGGAGGAATCTCCTCTGGTAAGAATGACAACATACCAGCAGCAGTCTTCAAAGAAACCCACCTCAATAATTCTTACTTGATCTCAAACTAACTTAGTATTTAGAGTTATCTTCCTGATTTTGTCAAAATCCTATGGAATTTCTAGAGAAGGGTCCATCTCAGAACTCACTTTAGTGAGATTGTGTGGGAGGGGGACGAGCATTGGGTTGTAACATCTTGACACTTCATTTAAAACAATATTTCTTGCCAGCCGGTGGTTCATGCCTGTAATTCTAGCTACTCAGGAGGCAGATCGGGAGGATCGCAGTTCAAAGCCAGCCTGGAGAAATAGTTTTTGAGACCCTGTCTCAAAAAAAAAATCACAAAAATAGGGCTGGTGGAGTGGCTTGAGGTGAACACCCTGAGTTCAAGCCCCAGTACTGCAAAAAAAAAAAAAACAGTAGTTCTCAACCAGGATGAGTTTGAGGTGGTATCTGGAGATATTGTTGGTTGTTAAAACTGGACAGGTATTAGTGGCAATAAGGATGCTACTAAACATCCTACATTGCATAGGACATCCTCCACAACAAAGAAAATTCTCTGGATGAAATTGTGACTTCTGATTGTAACAAATAGAATTACAACTTGGCAGTCATAAAGAGAATGCCTCAAAATTCCTGCACTTTTTCTTATTTTTTCTTAAAAATGCTTTATCTATAGGTAAATATATTTTAAAATATTACTAGCATCAAAAACAGCATTTCAGATAGCTATTTGACCTGAATGAAAAGTGACTGGTATAGACCAAGACCAAGCCTCTGCGTTTCTAAGAATCCTTCTAAGCTAGGCTAGGCCAGGAAAATTATTCCTTGTGGTAGGATTTTCCAGTTGTTTCTTTGCAGGATGACTTTCAGCCCAGGAAAACAACCATTTTATCCAACTACTCTGAGCTTTATGTGTCCCAGAAGTAAAGGTCAAGTCAC